CCCCCAACCCTTGGCTCTCCTCCTTCTGCCACTGCCTCATCTCCCTCTACTTCCTCCCCATCTCCTCCTCTACCTCTCCGGATAAAGAAGCTGTGGGAGAGGTGGAGTATTCCCCACTACCTGCTGATGAGCCCTCAGACGACTCAGAAATCACATGTGTTGGTGCTTGGGCAGTGGGTGATGGTGGAGGAGTGTCTCTTAGCCTGAATCTCTCCGGCCAGTCTTCAACATATTCTGGCACAGAGTCTGAAGAAATGTCCCGGGAGGGCTCATACTCACTCCCCGAGGAATGTGAAGCAGCTCTGTCAGCAGCTTTGATCAGCTTTGTTGTCTTCTTAATGTTTTCCCGGACTTGGGGAGTGAGTTTGATCATTTTCTTCTTCCCTCCCCGGGAGGATTCACCTCTGCCCGGTTGTTTTGAGCCTTTTCCTCGTTGTTTCACCATTGTCTGCAATCATAGTTCAATCAGCTTGTTACTAACAGTGTAATCAGTTAAGAACAATATTGCAGAAGCAGGGAAGAAAAGTTGCAGACAGGTTGCAGAAGTTGCCCAGTGCAGACCGCACAAAGGCTTCTTTGACATAATTGGGGAATATGATATAACCGTTGCACTAATTTACCCATTCTACACCTCTCGGTGGTTCAAGTGATTTTGCCCAGTTGACTCTCTCAAGATCAATTGGGTATGCAAATTTGCACAAGCAACTAGGGATCGAGTCAGGTATTACTCTTTCGAGGTTTAACCCTTTAATTGGGGCTATCAATCTCTTAAGTACACCCCAATTCCTTGTTGGATCAATTTCGGAGACTTAGGCTCTCTTTCTCAAGAAGAAGCCAAGTCAACTCAACACAAACTAGTGTTTGCAACCACTAATTCAAAAATTAACCATGAAATTGGCCCAAATAACAAACACCCATAGTCAAATTAGCCCTAACATACAAGACCCATCAATTACCCACACTAGGGTTGAGCCACAACCCTAGCTATGGGGTCTAGCTACTCATGTTCAAAGAAGAAAAATAAGAAATAGAAGAAGATAAACACATATTAATTAATTGCTAAGCTAAATACAAAGATTCAATGATGAAAAGTAAGTAAAAATGCCCAAAATGGCTAAGAAAAGTCGACCCACGAGCGCAGCTGATGTAATACAATATCTGATGCCCTAAAAATGGAAAAAGAATCTATTCATACTAGGCTGAAAAATCTGGACAAAATTACCTCTGCGGGGTTAGTGCGGACCGCACAAAATGGACCGCGGTCCGCACTAGGCTCTTGACTTCAAAATTCTTGCTCTCTGAACTTGGGCTCCGCGGACCACACAGAATGGACTGCGGCCGTGGAGGCTTCTAGTGCAGTCCGCACAGAATGGACTGCGGACCGCATAGGCTTCAAAACTTCATTCTTCATCTTCTCTGAACCTTGGCTCTGCGGACCGCACATAATGGTAGTGCGGCTGCATTGCCTTCAGTGCGGACCGCACAAAACCTAGTGCGGCCGCACTGCCTTAATGCTTGAAATAACAGCTCTCTGAATCTCCCAGTGCGGACCGCACAAAGTGTAGTGCGGCCGCACTGGGCCTGCTTTGCTTGAGCTTGCCTTGCCTTTGTCACTTGTGGAAGTTTCACTCCTTTTGAGCCGATCTTTGACATTTTGTCACTTTGTTGATCAAACCTGCAATCAAGCACAACTTGTGAGCCTTTTGGGACTATTTTGTATGAATATTTGATCAAAGCATAAGCAAGAAGGAGTATAAAATGCGTCAAAATCTCTAGTTATCAATGAGGTCGAATGTGAGTTGATTCGAGTGAGGTCAAATGTTACTCTTAATTAATTCGAACGAGGTAAAATGTGAGTTGATTCGAGCGAGGTCGAATGTGAGTGTCTTATTTGGTGCAGTGTTAAACTTGGTGGAGACATAGGCGAACATCATGTGCTTGTATGCTTTGCTTACATATATACATTGGAAAAGTTTACACGTTTTTCGGGCTGGTATTCCAGTCTATCTGGTCCCTTTATTGGTCGACCTGGAGAAGTATTCGAAGGGTCGAGCAATGAATTAGCTAACTTTTATTCTCACCTGCTCGTGCTTAACTTCGAAATGTCCTCCTCGTCACCTCATTAAAAACCTCCCCGAGAAAACTCAATTGGGACAAGACTCAGGTGAGGAAAAGAGTACGGCTCGGAGAACATCTTTCCTTAGAAGTTGAAGTACTTGAGGTGGGCAATGTTCCAGTTGTTTGGTAGTAGTTTTCCTTCCATCGTTTCCAGTTGGAACGACCCTTTGCTTGCTGCCGCTGTAATTTTGTATGGGCCATCCCAATTAGTCCCTAGCTTTCCTTCCCTTGGATCCTTGCTTGCCTGTGATTTGAGTACGTAGTCCCGACTTTGAGCGGTCTGACCTTGGCTTTTTGGTTGTAGTACCGCTCTGTCTGTTGTTTCTGGGCGACCATCCGTATGTAAGACATGTCCCTTTGTTCTTTGGCCTCATCGAGCTCTTGCCTCCTTCTTTAATCGTTTCTTGGCCCGCTCTCGTGTGAGTACCTTAAACTTGGTTCACCGACCTCGACCGGTATTACTGCATCAGTCCCATAGACTAGTGAGTACGGTGTTTCTCCTGTACTTGTTTTTGGCATTGTGCGGTATGCCCATAGCACTTCCGACAGCAACTCCGGCCACAATCCCATGGCGTTCTCGAGCTTTTTCTTCATAATATTCAATACTGACTTGTTGGAGGACTCCGCTTGTCCGTTGCCCGCGGGATGATATGGCGTGGAGAGTATTCTTTTGATATGCCATTTCTCGAAGAACTCGGCGATCTTTTTTCCAGTGAATCGAGGCCCGTTGTCACAACTAATTTCTTTGGGGAGGCCGAAATGACACACAATATTCCTCCATATGAAGGCGATCACTTCTTGCTCGCGTATTTGGCGAATGCACCTGCTTCCACCCACTTGGAAAAATAGTAAGTTAAAACTAAAAGAAATCGTACATTACCTCATCCTGCTGGGAGGGGTCCGACGATGTCCATCCCCCATTTGATGAAAGGCCAAGGCGAGGTGACTGAGTGGAGGTGCTCGCCCCCTTAGTGGATCATGGGGGCGTATCTTTGGCATTGTTCGCATTTTTTTACGAAGTCAGTGGCCTCTTATTTCATTGTGGTCCAGTAGTAGCCTGCTCGTATGAGGCATCTGATTAGAGCTTGATTCCCGGTATGAGCTCCGCATTGGCCTTTGTGGACTTCCTCCAGAATGCGTCGTGTCTGGTTTGTGCCTAAGCATTTCGCTAGGGGGCCGCCATACGTTCTTTTGTACAGGTCGTTGTTGATAACATTGTACCTGGCCGCCTGCATTCGAAGCTTTTTGGCTTCTTTTTTATCGTCTGGAAGCGCGTCGTCCTGCAAATATGTGACAATACGATTGCGCCAGTCCCAAGTTATGTTTATAGTTTGTACCTCGATTTGATCGGTTGAGGAGAGTGACCATGTTCCCTTCTCCAGTTAGGCTTTTAGTGGCCGTTGCTAGTTTTGCAAGGCCATCTGCTTCGATATTTTGTGCTCAAGGGATTGGTCGAGCTGGCATTCATCGAACTCGGGTAACAGCTTGTAGATCTCAGCCTGGTATTTTTGTAATCTGTGTTCCTTCATTTGGAAAGTCCCTGTGACTTGATTGACGACGAGCTGAAAGTCACAGTGTAGGATGACTTGCTTCGCTCCGTACTTGAGTGCTAACTTTAGTCCTGCAATTACGGCCTCATACTCGGCTTCGTTGTTAGTCATATCCGGGCATCATATGGACTGGCAAATTACTTCGCCTGTTGGGACCTCGAGCACGAGTCCCAGTCTTGATCCCGACGTATTAGAGGCACCATCAGTATACAAAACCTATAGGTCGTGTATTTTGGGGGAAGTATGGGCAGCTTCCTTTTCGAATTCAGGCATTATTTTTGTGTTGAAGTCGGCGAGAACTTGCGACTTTATCGCCGTTCGCAGTTGATAGGTTATATCATGCTTGCTCAATTCTATGGCCCATTTGGCCAATCTGCCCGACAGCTCGGGTTTGTGTAGAATACTCCTTAGGGGAACGGTCGTGACCACCGAGATGGGGTGACACTGGAAATAGGGTCTAAGCTTTGGGCTAGCTTCCCGAGGTGTGGGTACCTCGTTTCAGCGTCAACCAAAGTTTTGCTACTATAGTAGATGGAAGATTGCGTACCTTTGTTTTCTCGGACCAGGACCGCACTCACAGCCACATCGGACACGACTAGGTAAATGAGGAGACTCCCCAGGTTCCACCTTAGCGAGCAGTAGGGGTGAAGATAGGTACGCCTTTAATTCTTTCAAGGTTTCGGCGCACTCAGAGTTCCATTGAAGTCCATTGTCTTTCTTGAGTACGCCAAAAAATTTGTGGCATCTATCAGAGGACCGTGAGATGAATCTCGACAGGGTGGCTATGCGGCCGGTCAGCTTCTGTACCTGTTTCTTACTGGTTAAGTTCTCCAGAATTCCTTCTATAGCTTTGATTTTGTCGGGGTTGACCTCAATGCCTCGTTGTGATACCAAGAAGCTGAAGAACTTTCCCGAGGTTACGCTGAAGGTACCGTATCGTCTGAGTATGTCGAAGGCCTCTTTCAAGTGGTCGATGTGATCCTCTTTGCTTTTTGACTTGACCAACATGTCGTCGATGTAGAATTCCATGGTTTTGCTGAGCTGGTCTTTGAACATTTTTGTCACCAACCTCTGATACATCGCCCCTGCGTTTTTCAGTCTGAAAGGCATCACTCTATAGCAGTACGTCCCCTGGTGAGTGATGAAATTAGTCTTTTCTTGGTCTTCCTCCTCCTTGTGGATCTGGTTGTAGCCCGAGTAGGTGTCTAAGAAGCTTAATATAGCTTGTGCCCGGCCGTTCTATCAATGAGCTAGTCAATATGGGGTAGTGGGAATGAGTCTTTCGGGTAGGCTTTGTTCAGATCTGTGAAGTCTATGCATATCCTCCATTTCTTATTCTTCTTTTTCTCGGGCAGTGCGTTGCTCTCCTCGGATGCTGAATACCGCCCAAAGGGTGGGAAATTTGATGACTTGATATAATCTGGAGGGGATGGCTTTCATGGCGTGTATCCAAGGCCGAAATATGATGGCGTTGTACGCCGTATCCTGGTCCATGATGTGGAACATGGTCTCCAAAGTGACGCCGCCGGCCAGGACGGGTAGCGCAATTTCTCCAGACGTCCGCTCAGCTGCATTGTTAAAACCCGTCAGTGTGATGCAGCGTGGCACTATCCTATCCTCTAGCTTCATTTGGGCGAGAACTCGAGGGTGGATAGTGCACGCGCCGCTCCCATCATTGACCATAATACGTTTTACAGCAGTATCTAAGATGTGTAAAGTAATAACAAGGGCGTCATAGTGAGGAAAGACCAAACCGTGGGTATCCGACTCATCGAAGATGATACATTCTTCGAGTTCGTCATATCGTTCATGATTGATTGACCATTTCAGCTTGTGGGTGGTCGTGAATTTTACGCTGTTGATTGATGCGTCATCGCCTCCTCCGATGATCATTTGGATGGTTCGACCTGGGGAGGGCGGTTTTGGTGGACCTTGATGTTGTTCGCATCCTCAAGCAAAAATTTTCCTTCCTCGATTGCTCAAAAGTTCTTTCAGATGTTCTTGATGAAGCATGTTCACGACCTCTTGCCTTAGAGCGATGCAATCCTCGGTCTTGTGGCCCCGTTCCTTATGGAATTCATAGAGGGTGTTAGACTTTCTGGTGTTTGGGTCGGACCTCATTTTCTGCGGCCACTTTACCTTTGGGCCGAGCTTCTCCAGGGCATAGACTTATTCTGAGGGAGAAATACAGAAATTATGAGCAGATAGTAGTGGGGGCATACCTCTTTCGCTTCGGTGAGTCCCTGTTTGTGACCTAGATAGGCCGTCGCCATGACGGGGAGGTGGTATGGCGACGACTCTGACATACGGTTGATGTCTTTCACGATTGGGTCACGGGCCTGCATGGTCCCTTCTATTGTCATTTCTTCAGTCTTTCCTGGATTCCATTTGGACTGAGGTTAGACATTGAGTTGGACCGTTGAGGTCGTCCTCGTCAGCTCGTACTTCGGTGCAGTAGGCGTTGTGTTTCTCGTCCCAAGTGGTTGGGGGATATTTCATGAGTCGGCTTAGCAATTTTCTGGTTGCCCTTGAACCGTTCCTGTTTAACCCATTCTAGAAAGCTGCTACTGTCGTTCCCTCTGATACATTTGGTAAGGTCATCCTCACACGGTTTAATCGGGCGGGGAAATCTCTTAGGCATTCACCGGGTGGCTATTTAATGGCAAAAATGTCATTCACACTCGCCTCTACTTTCTTAGCCCCGGCATGGGTAGTTACAAACTTGTCGGCCATTTCATCGAACGTCTCTATGGAGCGTGCAGGTAGCTTTGAGTTCCGAGTTAGTGCTCCCCCGGTGAGGGTTTCACCAAACTTCTTCAGCAATATGGAAGACACTTGTTCTTTGGCGAGGCCTTTGCCTTTAACTACGGTGACATAGTAGGTCACATGATCCTCAAGGTCTATCGTGCCATCGTATATTTTCAAGTACGGCGGCATTTTGAAGGTTTTAGATATGGCGTGTGGTGCAACTTCGTCACTGTAAGGTTGCTCAACGAACCGGCCGGCATCCCTTTTTGGTATGAGTTTTGTGGCGCCTGGTATTTTATCTACCCTTTCTTGATGCTCTTTCATTTGGTCACGGAGCATTTTGTTCTCGTTTTCTATCTCCTCCATCTTCCTTAAAATGGTTGTGAGGGTATCGTTACCTGCATTAATAACGTTGTGAGTAATACCTGTCACAAAAGGAGGGTCGTGCTGCTCGTCTGTCACTGGTGCGACGCAGACTCTTGCATCTTCTCCGTTCGTCCTTTGCGCGGGCTTGTCGAGAATGCTGGTCAGCGTGTTTGTCAACCACGCCTCGAGCAGCTTTTTCACTGCTGGTGGTGCCTCTTCCGTTGTGGATGTAGGGGCCCCTTTACCGTGTGAGGTTGTGATGCTGCCGTGAGAGAGGGGTGAACCACTCCGCCTAGGGGAGGCGTTTGGCGTCATGTCCTCAGTATTTGTTCCAGTGACTTTGTTGATGGTGTTTAGGAGGTTGGTAGTAAGACCGACTACTGCTTTAATTCTTTCCTCTCCATTACCTACCATGTTAAACTATGCATGCAAGAAAAGATAAGGTTTTGTGTTGTTTTCTTTTAGATCTGAAAGAAACTAAGACTTTGACTAGGAAATCCCCACAGACGGCGCCAAATTGTTTGACCAAAAAATGATAGTCTTCAGTTAAACTAATTAATCAGTTATTAAAGAGAGTTAATCCTAGTTAAAGCTAGTAACTTCAAATCTTGGGTAAACAGTGCGAAAGGTATAAGCAGTAAAGAAACGAAATTAATGTGCTAGCAATAAATGTGTCGAATATAATAATGTGCATGAAGTATTAAATATTAAATAACAATAAATGACAATAAATATAAATAAGGAGGAAGATTCACCCAATATTAAATGAGGTGAATATTTCCTCCCTCTGACAATGATGAATGATAGGAATATAAGAGAATATTGGGCATTTTCTCGAATCTGGTGAAAATGACAATGGATAATCCAAAAAGGTTGAAGCCTTTTGCCTTATCTCTCATACTATTTACATGGGATATTCCAAAGAACCCTATAAGTACAAACAGAAAGAATATCCAATAGAATATTCCCTCTGAGGATCCCAAAACAAAACTAGCCGTTACTCCTATCTATGCCGCTCGACATCGGCCCTAACGAACCGCTCAGCGGCTCGTTCTGTTGATCATTGGTCGACCTCGGCCAAACTACCCGCGTTGATATGCAAATCGCTCATGGTAATAATATCTGCATGCCGAATTTCTTTGGTCTGATTTTAATCCATACATTATATATGGTACAACTTATATAAAATTGATGTATTGCTACAGGGTAGAAATATTAAATTACTTTGAATGCATAGGACTCTCGTCTTTCATTGCTTGATACAAAACAAGCTAGTAGTCAAATTTATAGTTGGAAAATCCAATTCACTTAGCACTTGACATTACTTATTATAATGTTAGGTTTAGAAAATCCCTACTTGTAGTTTATAAAGAGAAATAAGCCTCCACGAGGTTCTTATCAAACTGAAGGGCTATATTTTTCAGTACATTAAAATTTCGTCATTTAAAAAGATAATCATTGGTCCAAAATGGCCATTATACATATTTTTTACTTTTTAGTATTCTGAACCGCATCATCTCATGTCAAATGATGAAGTTAAGTGTTAATTAAGTTATTTCGATCTGCATAACTGAGTGCGCAGAGAATGTCGATTTCCACTAATTTGTGCACCCAAATAGGATAGTGTTTCAGAATATAAAATTGTGAAGTAACACGTAATAAGGATCTAAGAACATATAATCATTATACATTTTTAAAAATATAACGTTGTATAGCCGCACTTAAACTCATACCCAAAAAATATATATTTTTATAATATACATACTTTTATGTGTGTTATTTACATAAAATATATAAATTTTATAAACTTTTGTGGCTAGCGTACGTAAATAATTTCGACCGCGGGCTAAAAATGATATTTGCCCTTTAATGCCTAGGCCCAAACTATTTACTACTCCTATCCATGGGGTCCAAACTATTTACCCGATTTTTTCCTTGCCAATGATCTTTCTTTCTTCTATCGTCCAGTTTATGCCCAAAATTGAAGAATTCTCCGCATTGCACAAGAAAATGACGAATACCACTATGTGTCTCAATTCCACCGGCAAAATGCTCTGCACTTTTTTTCTTGTCATTTCCGTCCTCGATTGTGACCCTCTTTTCTATATAAACTTCTCTATTTACTTGTCATTTCTTGTTTTTTCCCCCTTTTTTTTTTATTAAGTTTGTCCTTTTGTGTTTGATGAGTGCGAAAGATCACAGTATGGAACTTATATCCTTAAATTTATTTTTGTTCTTTTATGCTAAGAAAGTTATACAAATTGCAATTATTGTTTATTACCTTAACCATATTCAAAGTGGGTGTTGTTAAATATTGCTTATAGTACCTTCTGAAAGTTCATACTGAAATTTAATAGCATTTGGAGCTGATTTGAGGTGATTGAGATCGAAATTTTCAATTGAAATTTGAAGAAGAACACAACTACAGTATACCACTACGGTATACAATATGTTGTAGGAGTATATAGCTATACTGCAACAGTATACTATTATAGTTTACAATATACTGCAACGGTATATTGTAATAATCAAAGAAGAACACAGTTACCTAACAGTATACCGCTACATTATACAATATACTATAGGAGTATATAGTTATACTGCAACAGTATACTATTATAATATATACAATATATTGTTATAGTATACTGTAAATAATATGCAGTATATTGTAACAATATGTTGTAATAGTATACTTATTACACGTAAATTCACTTGCCTTTTTCCTTTTAATTTGCTTTAAGCTTTTACCCAGCGTGAGGGGCAATTGAAAATGCAAAAAAAAAATAAAAAAAATATTATAGTATGATATATAATGTAACGATATCTCTTACAATTAGATCCTTTTAGAATTTTTTGAAATTTTTATTGACAACTGATATTATTTCAGTTTAATAATTGAATTAAATTTTGTTTTAACTCTTTGCGTACAATTGTATAACCTGTTGGTATAGCTATATACTATACTGGTATCAGAAGTTAGTTAATATTTTTTTGGTTGTATTAGCTACATTGAATTGATACACAATTTTATTTTTCTTTAGTAATAATATAAAAAAATAAAAAAAATAGTAAAAACAGTAAATGAAAGTCGATTATGAAGAGAAAAAAATATAAAAAAAAAGAAGTTAAATGAAATTAGAAAAGGAAAAAAGAAAAAAATAAGAAGAAAACGAGAAAAAAGAAAAGGAGAAAAGAAAAAAAATAAAAAAGAAAAGAAAAGAAGCATAGAAATAAAAAAGAATTGGAGAATAAAGAAAAAATTCCCCACAAAACCTACTATGGGTAGGAAATGTAATTAGTTTATGGATAGAAAAACAAATGGGTAGATAAGGGTAAATAGTTTTGTTTTTATGGGTAATTGTGTCAAAACCCCAAATTACATTAGATACCATGTGAATAAGCCCATAAAACCCATGTATAGTTTCTTCGATTTCACATTAAAAAGCAATAGAGGTTTAATTAAATGTATACTAACAAGGATTTATTCTTTTAAACTTCTTACTACTAGATGTTTGACAAAAAATATAGATTTTGGTTCAACCAATTAGATTTAGATAAAGAAGAGTCAATCTTAGCTAATAATAATATCCTAAAGACAAGGTTATCGGTTTTATGACAAATAACTTGTTTTTTTGTCCAGATGGCAATGAATGTAAATGATAATAACAGTGTTCAATGATCCATAGAGATGGAATATGGAATTAAATAGTAATAAATAGCAATAAATGACATTTAAAAAAATAAAAACGTGCTAGTCACCCGAAAAAGGGGTGATA